CAGAGTCCACGAAACACACAATGTTTTGTTTGCAACAACAAGTGACTAAGGGATTAGGGACGCACTTGTCCTCATGTGACTGTACACCAGGAGAAGATAAAGCACAGCAATTATAAACTTGAAATGTTTGGAAATAATCTAATCATGCCTAGCTTGCAACTATAAAAGATCTTACCAATTAACCACGAGTTGACATCTAAAATTTAAATCAACTTTTAATATAGAAAATACTCTCCAATAAAAAAGTTTAAGGCACCTAAGACCAGCGATCCGTGTCATTTGAAGACAAGCACTGTTCTGTGTCAGTACACCACATTTAAGTTTAAACCAGAAGCTACTACTAAATATTTCAGCCAAATGGGCCATATGACAAAGAAATGGAAGCCACATAAATTACTGACTGCTTAAAAGGCAGAAAATACACCATGCATCACCAGCTCCTGTTATTTTTGCCTCTGTTAAAAAGATCATGAAATGCAAATGGCCAGATATGAATAAAAGAGCTAACATAGTAAAAAAAACAGTTATATCCAAGAGGGCTGGGTGTTGAGGACAAACCCTTCCTTCAGTTGTACAAACCAAGCTTTGGACAGGAACATCTGGAACTCTGCGAGGCCAAGGGCAGAAGCCGGCTATTTTGCCAAAGTTTGGGGTCATAGGTTAACATGAAGAGGAAAATAGGTCACCCTGAATTTTAGCAAAGAATTAAAAGAATGAAAGCTTACTTCCCAGAGTTCATAGATTTCTTTCCTGAGGTCCTCTGACAGAAGCTGGGTCAGTTGTTGCATAGCTGCCTGGAAAAAAGAAGCCATTTCCATTTATCCGTTTTTTTGAGCAAGCACATTTTTACCAATACCTTTTGTGAACAACCGCCCACTTGTTATCAAGTTTGTACAAACACATACTACACAGTATATTATTCTAAAGTGCACATGTACATGAATCTGCCAGAGAAACTGCAGGATCACTCAGTGAAGAATTTTTTCTGGGAGCTGCTTAAGCGTGTTGTTAGAGAACTAGTCTAAAACATAAGAAAAACAATCTGAAGGTACATCCCGTATCTTCAAAGGTCCAGAAAGAAGCATAGAGCAAAACAGGCAAGTCAAACACCTCAGAACTGCTATCAATTACCAGCTCTGTCTTCAGGGTTCAACTAGTGGAGACAGCATTTGAACTTCATAGGTTATAGGTGCAGTTCATAAAAACAGCTTCGAAATACTAATTCCTAGTGTTGATGACCAATTGCTCCATCCCAAACACTCAACTAGCACACCTCCACCAGCAGAGTTAAGAACAGTTACTGACTGTCAGGCAGGCAACACAACATAAGCATTTAAAAATCTCCAATTTTGAAAACCAGAGGAAAAAAAATAAAACCATTTAATACTCTACAGGAATAAAAAGCAGCATTCCCAGATTGAGATACCATTCGTTCAACACGAAAATCTTGGTGCAAGGTTTAACACAGCATCAAAGTGATGATGTAACCAGCAAGCAGAAATTGTTCTGCACCCTTTTTGTGCTCTTCCAGCTGATCAGTCTCATTCCTGTGCTATTTCTACTGTTTTCCTAGTAATACCAAGGGCTGCTTCTGAAACAATCAACATTGCAGGCAAGACAAAAGTTTGTGCTGTGATCCTTTTTCCATTTCAAATACAGGGTACAGTTTCACAATATGGCTCAACTGAATCAGCTGCTCCCCACCACTGAAGCATCAAGGCCTCATTCCTTTCCACCTCCTTCCAGTTCTGAAGCTTATCAGGTTTCAAGGTTAGCAGGCCACAATGACTTACTTGGCAAAAAAAAAAAAAACACCCCAAAAAGAAAAAAAAAACTTCAAAGAAAAAAACTCCAATTATTTATAAAAAAAATCAAGTTCACTTTCTGCTGCCTTAGCCTTGGTGAGACTAACTGATGAAACTCATTGCACAAGCAGCAAACTTTGGAACCAGCTCAACATCAGCTGTTAGAACAAAAAGGAATAAAGGACGCTGCAGCGGAAGCAGTGTATTGATAATTCGGCTCAAGCCGCATCATGAACCTGTTGGCCTTGGTGTATTTTTACAATAAAGCATTTCAGAGTCAGCCCGGATGTAAAATGCTTGACCGTCTTTCCCAGAAAGTCAACAGCAAACAGTGAAATGGGAGCATAAGGAGCTACGAATACTTAAGAAAACTTCTCAAACATACTTTGGCATCGAAATAGCTTCCTCATTGCCTAAATACAAATGAGAATTCCCTCTAGGCAAAGCTGAAGCCTGATCCTCTGTGACAAAACAACTTTTGGAGGTCTCCAAGAAAGAGGGAAGAGGGTTTTATTGTTGTAAGAACACACTAGGAAGTACACTGAAAAAAAGAAATTACAAAATTGCAGTCAGTAAAGACTACTTCAAGAACACTGAATAACCCCTTGATCTTTAATTGCCACCTTAGCGAAGAGATTACTCCTAGTACTCCTAGGGTTAATCATAGCCCCCCACCCAAGTTTTAAACAGGTAAGTATAAAAGAGGCTGGGGGAGAAATAAAAACTGCAAGTTTGTTACTCTGAAGAATTTGCAGCCTCTAAAGAGTTTCCGAGGCATCGCGTCGCCCTCTAGCTGTGGCTGGAGGAGTGGTTTACATCTTCAAATAACGCAGCAAACCAGAAACGACAAGCCAACACCATACAACCAGTGTACCCTGGATACATACATACAAGGCCACGCTGCACTCAGAGACTCGTTACCTGTGTCTGAGGTTCCGTGCAAAAGGCTTACATAAAGTCTCCATCACAACAACATGACCTGGCACCACACGAACAACCCACCACGAACCGCCATCCCACCTCAGTGCACACGCTCCTTCCTCCCCACCTCTTGGTAAGGCCGGTCTACGTGACTCATTCAGGCTAGCAAAAAATCCAGCTAGTTCAGGAATAAATGTCCAGCGTGAACATTACTTCAACGGATCTCCTTCCTAACTTTGTACTTGGTGATGTACAAAAATCACAATGCTCAGTTGCGGCATGCTTGTCCAATGCCAGTGACAGCATGACATTGCTTAGAGGATCTCTTCACTACCAGCAGAACGTTAAAAACACGCAGAATGCTTCACAGATAGGGCTTTGAGCCTTATGTCCATACCTCTTCTCTCCTGTGTTTCTCCTCTTTTGAGATATTATCTGCGGGAGCAATATCTCCAACAATGCATTCAGCCATATCATGAACCAAAGCTAATCGTATGCATCTGACAAAAAGCAGAGACAGAATAAGTTTTTTCAGCATTTTAAAAATTATATCTTGTTGTTCAAAAAGCTAAGACACTTCCAAATTTATTCTCTTCATGTATTTTACAGGGGTTTTTTTCCTTTCTTAATTTTACATAACATTTGTCACTTCTTAGCTACGGAAAGTAGTTTCCACCTAGATGTGATTTTAATTCCTGGTATCTAGCTACTGCTGCTTGTAAATGTAGATTCAAGCGTACAAGAGCACAGCATTCAAAAATAATGCACTTAGCTTTTGTGTGCTTGGATTTGGAGATCTTCTGATACCTAGCTACAATACATACAATACATACATTAATGCTGCAAGAGGCAGAACATACTCTTGACTGGAGTCATCCAGTATATAATCAGACACTCGCAGCTCTGTAGAATATGTCAATCTGCAGCAGAAAACTCAAGAAAGCTTTCACTATTTTCATCAGCTCCTGAACGAGCAAAGTAAGCATGATCCCACACTAGACTTCACAATTCATTCAACTCTAATGACGGTTTCTTTTCTACACTATATAATTTCTAAGGTTCCTTACTGCTGCCAAGTGCCAAGTCTGTCAAAATCCACACAGTGTATGGCTTTGCTTTTTCTGTCTGTTGCTTCAAACTGTGTTTTGCTTACTTATGGCTTGAGAGAAATCCAGCTCAGAGTGTCTACACTAATAACTTGCCTCAGCACCTGGAGTTTAGCAATAATAGTCTTTAGCACCTTTCAGCATTCCAAATAAACAGCACTTTGTCCAAAGGATGGAGGGAAAAGAGAATGGGAAAGGATTTCAAATCCCTCCAGTGTGCTTTAAAAGCTCTTCTTCAGGATGCCAGCTATTCATAGAACGGTTTGGACTGGACGGGACCTTAAAGTTCATCTAATTCCAACCTCCTTGCCATGGGCAGGGACATCTCCCACTAGCCCAGGCTGATCAAAGCCCATCCAGTCTGGCCTTGAACACTTTCAGGGAGGGAGCAGCCACAACATCCCTGGGAAATCTGTTTCAGTGTCTCATCACCCTCACAGTGAAGAATTTCTTCATAGTATCTAATCTAAATCTACCCTCTTTCAGTTTAAAACTCTTACCCTTTACCTTATCACTACATTCCCTAATAACGTCCCTCCCCTTCTTTCCTGTAGGCGCCACTTAAGTACTGGGAGGCCACTGTAAGGTCTCCTCGGAGCCTCCAGGCTGAACACTTCAGTCCTCTCAGCCTGTCCTCACAGGGTTGCATTTTGGTTGCAGCTCTCTCACGACATTAACATACGGCCGTGATAACCACAGGCAGTCCCACCTGTCCTTGTTAAGGGCTTTGTCTTCGGTCACCAAAGCCATCATCGCCATTCTGTACATGTGATCAGACACGCTCTCCGGCTTCGCCACGTTCCTGTACACCCATCCCGTTCGCGGCACCCTCTGCGTGAGGAAAATGTCACAGCGATGGAAACATTTAAGCCTTCGGTTTCGAAGGACCTCGTTTCAGAGGCACCAGTAGCAATTTTGCCCCTGTATGCCCGGGTAAGCTTTGATGCTCTCCGGTAACACCTGCCCCAGGAGCCAGGCTCCGCCGGGCCTGTGCTGGAAGACA